GGGGGGGGGGGGGGGGGGGAGGCGAGCAAGAAAAACATCACGTACCTTGTTTGGGCTAACCACGGACGGACTTCTTCGAAAAGAGAAGAACCTACCTTCTTCCCCCTAATACAACGTACGACCGTACGCTGTGTTCGGGCGAAGAAGGTAGGCATAAGCATAGCACCAGCATAGTATCACCCCGCCTTTTTCACATTTAGAACCAGGCCCCAAGGTGCTATGCTGGCCCTTAGAAAGCATGATCTTTTCTTCATGCTTCATACCGTGCAGAATCMCCCGATCTTTTTTTTTTTTTCCCTTTTTCTTTGAGGCTCCTACCCCTTACGAGAGCCCCTCCAACCCTTCCTCGCATTCATTCCCCCCTGGTGCACCCCTGCTTCCCCATTCCATCACCTTTCTACCATCACAGTGGGGTCACCCAGTCTGCTTCAGGTTGCAGTTTTCTAGTGCAAATATATAGAGCACACCCCTCGGTAAGCGCAGAGATCAAGCAGGCACAATTAAGCCACCAGTACTTGGCCCAGCTATCGGCCACGGCGCTTTCCCATTAACGCGCCGCGCCTTTAGAGCTTCGGGGTACCGGACCACAATGGCTGGAAGCGCCAGCCAACAATTTTTCAAAACAGTACCCTGGCGCTTCGGCAAAAATTGGCGCGCAGGGCCATTCCAGGCTCGCCATCGATAGCTGGGCCAAGTACTGGTGGTTTAAGAAGCATAGCGCGAACCGGTCCAACATAGCACACACATCACATTGCACATAGAGTTGGACTTGTTTGTTCTGAAGTGTAAGCATATGGCAATCGGTGCCTTGAGGGCTGGGCCAAATGATGCAATGCCATGTGTGTGCTATGTTGGACCGGTTCGCGCTATGCTTCTTAAACCACCAGTACTTGGCCCAGCTATCGATGGCGAGCCTGGAATGGCCCTGCATATAGCATAGACATAGCCTATTGCATCATTGGGCCCAGCTCTCAGGGCCACGCAGTGCTGATGCTATCTACATGTCAGGCAAGAATGAACCTGGCTGGTACTGCAGCCAAGTTCCAAGCGCGAACCTAGACCAATGGTGCCTGGCCCTCGCTCCTCCCTCGTCACTTCCGCAAACTAACTAAGTCCAGGCCTTCTGAGGCTGATTTTAACACACAGGAGCTCATCATCTCATCTCATACGATGGCAACCAAATAGGACAGGGTTCCAAAGCTACTCTTTTCCTTATTCCGTTTTTTTTTCCCTTCTTTTTCCTTTTTTTCCTTTTTTCTCTTCTTTTTCTTTTTCTTCCTTTTTTTAAAAGGAGCCATGGCCTTGAGATGCTGTCTTCAAACTAACCGCTCCAAGGTGAATTCACTACTAGTCCAGGCTACCACAGTGGCCCGGGGTCACTTGCCCGGCCGGGCCAGAAAACAACTAAAAATTAAAAATATATATACAATTTTATTTCATATTTTCAATTTGGTAAAAAACAATTAAGAATTAAATAAAATATATACAATTTTATTTCCTATTTTAAATTTGGTAAAGAATCTCGATGTGACCCTGAGGCAAAAGCTGTTCAGTTTATTGTTTTGCATAACGTAGTTTTTTTCGTTTTTTTTTTTTTTTTTTTTTTTTTTTTGCTGGGACCTTCCCTAGTCCTTGCACGGGCTGGCCACCGGGGACCTGGGCGGCCCGGCTGGTAGCCTGGCTACTAGTCCGAGTCCATGGGAATTTGAACTCAGGGCCAATGCCCCACTAGCAAAGAAGATTGGATTCAACACCTGAATCTGGACGTGTTTGTTGGCGAGGAGGAGAAAAACGCAATTGATCTGCTGTTCTGCATCTCTGCGTAATACCCATCCAGATTCAGGCACATAATCCAATCCTCTGCACTAATCGGACCTCTTGCTCCAGGTCTTCGTTTCAAACAGCTCGTGGTTGTACCAACTGAGCTAAGGCAGTCGATACAATAATACAATTGCTTTTTTTTCTATAATTTAATTCCTTGTTTTTTTCTTGTAATACTCGTTACGATGCTACTAAGCATGAGGCGAACTCGCACAAATAATAATAATAATAATAATAATAATAATAATAATAATAATAATAATTATAATAATAATAATAAAAAACCCGGCAAGACTACTCCTGTCCGAATAGATCTGGAAGTCTTCACATCCCAGTGCAGGTTATCATGCATCTGGACAAGAGGCCGTCCAGATACATTCTGTCAGGGGCGCTCGTGGAAATTTGCATGATAGGCTAGAAGTGGCACAGACGGCATCGGAATCCAAAACAACAATAGACCTACCCAGGTATTGTCTTCACCCCGAACACAAGGCACCCACTTATCACGACTGTACGGGACCAGAAAGATAGCTCGTATACATTTACGATAAGGCATACTAAAATGCTGAGTACCAAAAGCCGTTTCAATAAACCTTTACTGCAACTGTACTAGACCGGAAAGATAGCTTGTATGCATTATTGATTTGCATGCAAAATTGACAAAAGGGACTCTCGCCAACACATCTGACCGAAATCACGCCCAGATTCAGTAAAAAACGTACTGAAAGGGAAGAGTACTAGGGGGGAAAAAAAACCAAAAAAAAAACAGCCGACTCGAGTGTGGAAATGCCAGGAATTACTGACGTACGTATGCACCTGGTCCTTCATAAGCCCAGGTGCATGATTCGCACCTGGTCCTGAACATACGTAGGTGCATATCAGCGGGGCTAGTTTCGCCATTAGAATTTTGCAACATAAAAGGCTATTTCTCCACTCCTACCCCTTCAAAAAAAAAAAAAAAAAAAAAAAAAAAAAAAAAGGAGAGCATGGCCTAAGCTTGGGGAATCCAAATGGAGATGGAAAGAAAAACCTAAGCTGAGTTGGGGGCCTTCATATGGCAAAAGCCCATGAGAGCATCCACATGGGCAACAATACGAAGGGGCTACTTCTGTATTTCCAGACCCCAAAAAGGCATGCACTCTGAAAAAGAAAAAAGAAAAAAAAAGAGAGAGAGAGAGAGAGAGAGAGAGAGAGAGAGAGAGATCCCTGCAATTCTAAGAAAAGCAAACAGATAGCAAATGGGCCAACCAAACGGGAACGAACGAGAACAGATGGCAGCGAGACCCAAAAAAACAAAAAGTGGACGAAACAGAAACAGAAACAGAAGCGGGAACCGGAACAAGAAAAGAAAACGGGAATGGAAAAGGAAACAGGAACGCCACAGAAACGGAACGGGATCAAAAACAGGAAGAGAAACGAGAACAGAACGGGAACGGAAATCAGAGACGCGAACAGAAACGGCAACAGAAACGGCAACAGAAATGGCACCAGAAACGGAAACAGAAACGGAAACAGGACCAAGAAGGATCAGAAACGGGAACAGAAACGGAAACAGGACCGGGAAGGATCAGAAACGGGAACAGAAACGGGAAGGATCAGAAACCGGAACAGAAACGGAAACACGACCGGAAAGGATCAGAAACGGGAACAGAAACGGAAACAGGGCCAGGAAGGAACAGAAATGGAAAGGATCAGAAACGGGAACAGAGACGGAAACAGAAACGGAAACAGAAACGGAAACAGAAACGGGAACAGAAACGGGAACAGGACAGGGAAGGATCAGAAACGGGAAAAGAAACGACGGGAACAGGAACGGGATCAGAAAGGAGGACGAAACGGGAACAAAACAGAAACATAAAACGGAAAGAGAACCGATCCTAACGACGTCAAACGGAACGTTTGGAGGTCAGATGCAAAGAGAAACACCCATCAGCAATCTCGGATAGGGAGAAAACGAAAAAGACGGGGAGAGAAAAACAAAGTTTTTATTTCTATTTTGGGAGACCAAAGAAGAGAGAGAGCACAAACTCGAGCAGAGTTTTTTCTTATATTTTTCAAAGTTTTTATTTTTATTTTTCTGTATAAAATGAAGCCATAAACTGCACCAGAGTGCAAATCGGATTGAAGTTCGAAAAATTGTGCTACACGAGAGACCCATCATAGAACAGTCTCTTCTCTCTACTTCACCAAGTTCCCGCACAGAAGTCTGTGGTCCCGAGATCCATCTGCTGTCCAGAGATCCAGTCTGGGGACAACCAACCAGCTGCAGGTCCAACACCCAGTGTTGCTGCTTCTTCCCCCCTTCTCCCCCCCCCCCCCCCCCCCCCCTCTCTCTCTCTCTCTCTCTCTCTCTCTCTCTCTCTCTCTCTCTCTCTCTCCACACTCTGTGGAGGTTCGTAACCTTGTCCTGTCCTTGAAAAGCCGTCTGGCATTGACGCCTCTAAATGCTATACAGTCCTCTCTCTCTCTCTCTCTCTCTCTCTCACACACACACACACACACACATTCTTTCTCTCTCTGTGTCTGTCTGTGTCTGTGTGGAAAACCTAATTTTCTCTTTGCAAAACTTACAGCCAGCCTCCTGTGCGGGAATCCCCACACATGTCAATCACACACCAAAAACAGAAGAATGAAAAAAAAAAAACAAAAAAAAACAGATAACAAGAAAACAACGCAATTGTTCGGACAGAGGTCGACGTGCACAGACACCACACAAATGCACTCAAAAGGAGCAAGCTTCATCAACCAACCAACTCAGCAACCGATCTAAAATACGCGAAGGGGAAAGCAAAGAAAACGAAAAGACAAATGTGCCCAGTTGTCCACTTGCGTCTTCTCCCCCCCCCCTCCCTCTCTCACCTCTCCACCTCCCTCCCTCCCTCCGTTCCTCCCTCCCTCGGGGACCTTATCTTCTTCTCATTTACTTCTCATTGTCGTTCAGAGGAGATAATAATAACTGCTAACACGTCAGCAGCAACAGCTCAGGGATGACTTCTCTCCGCATGCATGATCCTCGACAGCTCAGGGATGACTTCTCTGCATGCATGATCCTCCCTCTTGCCTCTACTCCCTCCTCTCCTCACTCCTCTACTCCCTCCTCTCCTCACTCCTCTACTCCCTCCTCTTCTCACTCCTCTCCTCCCTCCTCTTCTCCTCCCTCCCTCTGCACTTTAGCCGCCGCACGAGCAATGGCGCGATCCTCCGTATAACATTATATCGCCCAACTGCAGCAGCCAAACAGCGCACAGAAGAGGCAGCCAGCAAAGACCCCACGCCATGCAGCAAATATGCTGCTGCAAGGTTTCAACAGGCCGATCGCCAGTGATGATAATTCAGATGAAGTATCCGAGAAGGTACTCCGCTACAGAGGGAAAGTTCCACTCCATAGGAGTGAAAACAGAAAAGACCTAGCATCTGTTCGTCGTTATAAGCAGAGAGACAGAGAGACAGACACAGAGAGGACCAGGGGGCTGGACGAGAGGGAGGGAGAATGCTGCAACTACTGGAGAGCGAGAGACAGAGAGAGAGAGAGAGAGAGAGAGAGAGAGAGAGAGAGAACTTCAGTTGAACCAACCACCCAATCAATCAATCAACCAATCAACCAATCGATCAATCAACCAATCAATCAACAATCAATATTAACGAATCACGAAGCCGAAAGAAATTGTTAACAGATAGATTGATTGAGGAAAAAGATTGCACAAATCAATGCGACGAGGTTCTCCCCGATCCTTCATTCGTTGAAATACCATGACCTGCTGCTATCCAGGGGCTTCCTTGTTCTCTCTCCAATCCTCGTCTGGCGTCTCTCCTCCTCCCTCTCCTAGGTGCCACATCACTGTCACTGTCCTCCCCATCTCCCGACTCCTCTCGCGATAGCGATACTCGAGAAGCCTCTACTACAGACATCGCCGTCGCCATCTTCACCGCCTGCTGCTGCTGCTGCTGCTGCTGCTGCTGCTGATCCCGCACCTCCCTCTCCCCACTCTGTCTCTTCGGTGCAATATCACCCACCACCCTCTCCTCACTCCCAGCACTTCTGTCGGAACCCTTCGACTCCTGTTGACGCCTCTGCTGCTGCTGCTGCTTCTGCTGCTGGTGGTCTCCCTGTGCATCCTCTACCTTTGCATCTACTACCTTTGCGTCAGACGAGTCTAGCTCCTGGCGTTTGCTGGTGTTGGGATCCCAGGCCTGGTGCTGTTGAGCGGCCGGCGCCGCCGGCGCCGCACCGCGGACGCGGCCCGCAACCCATCTGTCTTGCGAAGAGAACTCCCTTCCTCTCCCACTCCTCCCCCCTCCTCCTCTCGATCTGAACGCGGCGGAATGCCCTGGACCACCAGGCCCTTGAGCCTGCTGTCCCGCTCCCGCTCCCGGTCCCATTCCCCCAACTCCTGCTCCCATTCCCGGACCACCTCCCATCCCGGCCCGGAAATGCGAAGACGACGGTGGTCCAGGCCCTGGCCCTCCTCCTCCTCCTCCTCCTCCTCCTCCGCCTCCGCCGCCGCCACCGCCCTGCAACCCCATAGGTCCATCGAGAACTCCGCGCGCCCTTGACACCTCGAACATTCCTGGTCCCATTCCTGGTCCCATCCCTGGTCCCATTCCTGGTCCTCCACGTGGACCATCCAGCAGACCTGACCCCACTACCGATCCATCCAATATACCAACAACCCCACCTGGACCCTCAAGCAACCCTCCTCCCCCTCCTCCCCCCCCCCTGGAGCCATCGAGCATGGCCACCATCCCCCTCGGTCCATCTAGTATCCCCTGCCCTCGCGGCACTTCTACCATTCCCGATCCTCTGTGCGCTTCCATCATGCTCGCAACCATAGCCCCGTTCATCGAAAGCCTTGGATCGTCCAACAGACCAGGTCCAGGTCCTCTTATGACGGACAGACCCATGATGCCATCATGCAGGATCATCCCATTGGAAGGATCAACTGCAAACGCCGGCCGTCCCCCCGCATGGATTGGCGCGACCACAGTCATCTGCGGCGGGGCGGGAGGCGGAGGCGGCGGAGGAAGGGGGGGAGGCGGAGCAGGAGGATAGGCCATACCCGGACCTGGTCCTGGAGCTGCTGCCGAAGCTGGACCGTAGTAACCCGGACCAGGTCCGGTGAACGGTCGCAGGAATCCACCTCCTCTACCTGGTGGCTGCGGTGGCACACCCCCCCCCCCCCCCCCCCCATAATTGTCCCGCATTCCCATGTTGTTGCTGTAGATCGTACCGCCACCACCTGGTCCTCCTCCTCTTCCTCTTCTCCTCCCACCTCGATAGGATCCATAATGAGTCCCTCGGAACCGGGGGGGATAGGGACGCTCTTGGTAATACCCGCCCCCTCCTCCCCTGTCTCCGTAGCCCCCCCCCGTGCGTCCTCCTCCCCTACCTCGCCCTCTGTCGGCGTAGAAAGTGTTCCATCTTCCTTCCTTGGCGCCTTCCTCTTCCTCTCCCTCCTCATCCCCATCCACCTCCTCTTCTTCTTCCTCCTCCTCCTCCTCCTGCTCCACTCCCTCCGCTTCTTCCTCCTCTCGCTCGTTCTCCACCTCCATCGCCACAGCTCCCCTCGCTTCCCCCGAGCTCTTTCCCCCCCCCCCCCCCCCCCCCCCCCCCCCCCCCCCCCCCCCCCCCCCCCCCCCCCCCGCCGACATCCGCTCTCCTCGTCTCACCTCGTCCATCAACTCACTGTCGGGCAAGTCGAACAACCTAGAGAAGACAATCTCTGCCACCGTCGGCTCCAGCTCCTGACAGTCCCGACTGATCTTCACAGGCAGGTTGTCGTTGTATGGATTGCGCAAGCCGTAGACCATCTGAAATGACATGTCCGCCAACTTCAGCCACTTCAAGCGGAAGTTCAGACCAAACGACCCCATGCCCCTGGCATACTTCCATGCGCCGGCGACACGTGTCTCTCCGCATCGGGATTCCATGCGCGCCACACCTTGGAAATGACGGCTCTCGTTGACTGAGAAGATGAGCAAGACGTTGTCGCACGAGTCGAACGCCTCGTTGAGCTTCGCTTCGTTGTTGCGGTGGGTGGCCCAGATTCCGCGCCGAGCGGAGAGCTCTAGGTTTTCCCGATTGTTGCTCTTCACGATGAAGTAGCGATTGAAGCCTCGGGGGATAAGAGGGGAAACCCTAAAAACGAAGGAAGAAGGGGGGAGGGGGGCAGAGAGCTGAGAAAAGGCAGAGGCTTCGTCGAGGGGCGGCGGCAGCTCCGCCGCAGCCGCCCGCGGCGGCAGCGACGAAGGCTGGGGCAGCGGCGGCTGAGGCTGAGGAGACTCTTGACGGAGCGGGATCTGAGAACGGTGGGGAGAGGGATCGGAATTGCCACCACCTCCAGACTGTTGATCGCTGGAAGACTGTTGCGCAGTCGTTCCTCCAGTTGCCGCCACGTCAGTCGCAACTGGAAGACCTTGAGAGGGCGGGGGAAGCGCCGCAAGCGGGAGCGAGAGAGGCAGCGGCGGTTGTGGCGGCAATGGCCCCCCCCCTACGCCGCCGCTTCCCCCGCCTTCC